CGCAGGGCGGCGCTCACGAGCCTCTCCCCCAGACCAGGTGTTCGGCTGTCCGCTGGCCGCGCTGTGTGAGCGCGAGAGGAGCTCGGTGCCGCGCTTCGTGCAGCAGTGCATCCGCACCGTGGAGGCACGAGGTAGGCTTCGACGAGCGGGCCCCCCCCCCGGGCGCCCCCAGCAATCTCCCAGGACCCCCAAGGGGAGAGCCCTGGGTGGGACAGGGACGTTGGGGAAAGAGCCAGAGACCCCCGGGATCCTTGCATCGAAATTGCAGCAGCATAGTAAGGAGCTGAGCTACTAACCCCTAAAGGCGGTTCAAATCCACCAGCCGCTGCTTGGGACAAAACTGGGCAGTTCTTCTTCCCTGCAATTTACAGTCTGAGAAAACCTGCTGGAGGCTCCAGCTGTGAGTCAGTTCCGACTCTATGGCAGTGGCTTTGAGTTTTTTCTCCTCCCCAGGGCTGGACATTGACGGGCTGTACCGCATCAGTGGAAACCTGGCCACCATCCAGAAGCTACGCTACAAAGTGGACCACGGTGAGTCCTGACCCCAGCCCCTGGCCCAGGGTTGAAGGGGTGAAGGGGTGAAGGGGTGCTGACTCCTCCCCTTCCCGCCCCCGCCACAGATGAGCGTCTGGACCTGGACAACGGGCGCTGGGAGGACGTGCACGTGATCACCGGAGCCCTGAAGCTCTTCTTTCGCGAGCTCCCCGAACCCCTCTTCCCCTTCTCCCACTTCCACCAGTTCATCGCGGCCATCAGTGAGCACCTGGGGGAGGTGGGACGGCTGGGGGTCCCGCAGGACTGCCATGGTCTGGATGAAACCACAAGGTTGACCCAACCTGCCGCTCTCTCCACCCCTAGAGCTGCAGGACCAGGCCCAGCGCAGCCACTGTGTGCGCGACCTCGTGCGCTCGCTGCCCGCCCCCAACCGTGACACCATGAGGCTGCTCTTCCAGCACTTGTGCCGGTGAGCGGGCGGGGATGGAGGAGGGGGGGCCTGGCACACGCTGCTCCCCACCTCAGCTCCCTGATCCCACCCACCCCCCTTCGCCCCCGCAGGGTGATCGAGCACAGGGATCAGAACCGCATGTCCTTGAAGAGCGTGGCCATCGTGTTCGGGCCCACACTGCTGCGGCCTGAGAAGGAGGAGACCAGCATGCCCATGACCATGGTGTTACAGAACCAGGTGGTGGAGTTCATCCTGAAGCAGTGCTCGGAAATCTTCCGGCCACACTGACCGCCGCCCCCTCCCCAGTCACCCCGCTGCTGATAGCCGTGGACCCCTCAGAACAGCCAGACAGCTGAGGGCCACGCGGCCGGACTCAGATCCTCCTTGCCACCGCAGGCCGGTGTGAATGTTGTACCCCTCGGCTCTGAAGATGTGGTGACCCCTGGTGGGAAGTTTGCAAAATGTGATTTTTTTTTCCTTTTTTTCCCTCTCCGTCCTGGTTCACGATTAGGTTCAGTTCTTTCCTACAGCGCCTCCTGCTGTGCCTGAGCGAGAATGCACATGGGGGTGGTTGATTTTCTGAAGCCGATTTATGATGATGAGAGGGCATTTAGGTGAGTGGCCTCCCTGCTCCTTCAGACTCCATCTGGTGAGGCCTTCACAGCGAGCCCACCCTGTGCGTGCCACTGTGGATCATGCAGCAACCAGCCACCGTCCTGCAGTCAGTCGCCTTTCTTCAGGCCTCAGGGATGAAGCTCCAGCAAGGACCCCTCTAAGGCTGGCTGTGGACCACTCACTGGCTTCCTCCTGGGAGCTCCTCCCCTCTGGCCTCGCTGACCCAGCCTCCACCTGTTCTACAGAGCTTCCCGATTCCCAAAGTGTGTGCCCTGCACCTAACACTTGATGCCCGTGAGACAGATGAGGAGACAGAGGCAGAGTTGACTGGTGACGGGGCCAGAGGCTAGTCAGCTCCTCAGGAAGGTGACATCAGGACCCTAAGTCACTTCCCAGCCCCAGCATGGGACTGTGGACAGAGTAAAGAAACAGCCAATGGGATCCATCAGAGCCTGGAGAGTGTCCCTGAAGACAAAGGGGGAGCCTGCCCTCTGGTTCTTCTGAGGGAAGAGGAAATAGCACCGGCAGGCGCCACCTCAGTTTATGAGTCTTGGCCCCCAGCCCCACCTACTCTTTCATTTATTCCACTAGCAATAATAGCTGATATTTATTGGACATGTGCACTGTGCCAAGCATTTTCCTTGGATTTTTTTTTTTTCACAGCCAATATTTATTGTCTGCTCTTCTGTGCCAGGTGCTGTGTTCTGGGGGTAAGGACACAGCACGTGGGGGAGCTGATGGCCCAGGGGGCTGGGCAGGGATGAGGCTGAGAGTCCCACCCTCCTTCCACCACAAACAAGAGTACAAATGGAGGCCTCACACCATATGTTTAACTATTTAAAAGTTACAAACCCAGCTAACAACTGTTAAATAAAATGTGTTCTAGTCTCCTACTTTGACTGATACGCTTTCACTATGGTCTGGAAAATTCTAGCTTAAACTTCTTTGGTTCTTTTGAGTTCTATGCCTGTAGCAGTGGTGCAGAGGTGGGTTACCAGAGTCAAAAGGCAGGGAGATCTTTGTAGAGAGCTCTCAGAAAGTATTAGTTTCTCTGTCCTGGTAACTCCTTCGAGGCTCCAGATCTGCCTAGGTCCCAGGTAGGAAAATAGCAATATGCAGAAAAGTTCCTCATCATTTACTTCTTTTTTTCTTCTGATGAGTCTGATTTGACTGGCACAGGAGGAGATTGCCCATCCTTTTCCAGCATAGCATCTGGTGAATTTGAACCACACATCTTTGGGATTACAGCACAGCTTCTTGCCACTAGGCCACCAGAGCTCCCTCTGATCACCTACTTCTGTTTGCCTTCAGGAATCATCTGCCACCAGTGAGGAAACTCCTAGGAGTTTCTACTCTCCCTGGGGGCACTCATTCACTCTGAAGACTGGCGTCAAGGAGCTCCAAGTTGCTGTCACATTGCCTGCTGGGTGACATAGCCCTTTGAGCCTATAGCCCTTTGGCTTCCCAGAACTCTAGGGCAACCATTTGTCAAGACCTTCATCTGTATCCAAGAGCTCTGATGGTGCTGTGGTTAAGGAATTCAGCTGCTAATCAGGAAGTTGGAGGTTTGAAGCCACAGGGCCTTGTGGCCAAGGTTGTTGGGACAAAAGGCAGGGGGTTCCCTGCACAGAGCTCCCTGGAAGGATTAGCTCCCCTATCTGACCCCCACCTCTTTCCAGGCTTCTGGCTCTTTCCAGGGCCACTTGGAGGGAGAAAGGTGAGGCAGTTTGCTTGGATACAACTTTGGAAAAGCTAGGAGACAGATCTACTCTATCCTATAGGGCTGCTATGTTTCAGAATGACTGGATGGCAGTGGAGTGGATGAGCTGAATACCAACAATGGTACAGAGATGAGTCCTTTGTTCATTTCAGGTATGAGCAGCAGAGATTGAAGACATCCCCGTTGAAATAGACAGGGAGAAGAGTCCATTAAAATTAACAAGGAGCTCTGCCAGGTGGAATGAGGACTAGGAGGCCCAGCCTCTCATGTTGTCCAAGAGCAGATATTCTTCCTATGTTGCCAGCCTCAGAGGAGGGCTTGGTTTAATGAGTGAGTCAGATGATTTCTTCTTAAGTGAGAAGAGATGGTAGGTGATGACTGGGTGTCCTGCTAAGAGAAAGGACTTCTTCCTCTGGACCCCACCAGGTGCTGCTGGATAGATGCAGCCAGGTATGCTTTTTAAAAATTAATTTAATTTTGGGAAAGGACTATATTTTCAGAAAACATGGCACAAGAAGTTCTAAATATCCCCCTCACCTCATCCCCCAAGAACAATATCTTACATAGTATATCATCAAAACCAATAAATTGAATGGCACTATATCAAGAGAGAGCAAAGTCCAGGGCTTTTGTGCATAGGGTCGCTATGAGTCCTAAGAGACTCAACCCACATAATTAAGGAGTTCTCGTGACCTAATGGTAAGAAACTGCATTGCAATCCCATAGGCACATGGTTCAGATCCATCAGCTGCTCTGTAGGAGAAGGATGAGAAGTCTCCTCCCAAACCTGCTGGCACATAAGAACATCATACAACAAGGAAATAAAAGCTATGAAATGGGGAAATGACAACCTCTTCAACAAATAGCAAAACTGGACTTCCACCTGCAAAAAGCTGAAACAGAATCCACATCTCACACCACTCACAAAAATCAGCTCAAGGTGGATCAGAGACCTGGGAGTAAAGCCCAAGACCATAACGTTCTTAAGAGACAAACTGGAATCAAGCTTAGAAGAGCTAGTCCAAGGTATAAAGAGACTGCCAGATACAACCAGAAATGCATAAAATTGATATTGAGGATAAAATTGATGAATGGGACCTTCTAAAGATTTAATCTCTATGCATATAAAAAACTTTTTCCAACAGGATAAAAAGAAAACCTACAGACTGGAAATAAACATTTGGTAATACCATCTCAGACAAGAGTCTTATAACAAAAGTTTACAGAGTACTCCTGGGCCTCCACAAGAAAAAGACTGATAACCCAATCACAAAATGGGCAAAAGATATGGAAAGAATTTTCACAGAGGATGATATTCAAATGGCAAACAGACACATGAAGAAATGCTCCAAATCTCTGGCAATAAGAGGGATGCAAATAAAACCACAATGAGGTACCATCTCACTCCAATAAGAGTGGCAAAATTTAACAGGACAAGTAACAGATGTTGGAGAGGCTGGATATGGCGCTTCCTCAAAAAGCTGAACATAGAAATTCCATATGACCCAGCTATTCCACTACTTGAAATTTACCCTGAGAATATGAGAACTGAGGCACAAACAGATTTGTACACCAATGTTCATAGCAGCGTTATTCACCATTGCAAGAACATGGAAACAGCCCAAATGTCCAACCACAAGCAAATGGATTGAGAAATTATGGTACATTCACACAATGGAATCGTATGCAGCACGCAGTAGCAATTACTTTATAAATTATTGCCTAACTTGGGAGGGAATGGAGAGCATTATGCTGAGTGAACTAACCCAGTCCCACAAGGGTTATAAGACCATTATTGTAGTATGAGTATAAGGATCCAGGAGGGGTGGGAGAGGCTGGAAGCAGAGGGATGTGGATGTGCAGGGGGAAGAGGGGATTAATCATTGGGTTGTACAATTTGATGGGTTGAGGGAAATGGAAAGAATTTGTTCAAATTTGTATTAGAAATTTGTAAATAAACTAATGAAAAGAAGGGGGGGGGAAATCATACCATTAAGAAACCCTGGAATGTACATGCTGAGCTGCTAACCAAAAGGTCAGCTGTTCATAACCCACCAGCCAATCCAAGAGAGAAAGACTAGCAGTCGCCTCCCACACAGATTTACAACTATGGAAATCCCACGAAGGCTCGCCCTGCGTCAGAACCCACTCAGTGTCCGTGGGTTGGGTTTGATTAGCGGTTTAGATGGTTAGCTAGACTGCACATCTTGGTTTTACCATTTTTTGCACACACTCAGCATTTTTATATGTCCTTATGTATAATTTCACGACCTTTATTATATCACATGTATAAAGGGTGACAGCCACTACTACCACCATCCGGATACAGAACTGTGCTGTCATCACAGAGGAAATCCCTCAGGCTGCCCCTTCACAGTCACACCCTCCCGGCCTGGCCCTGCCCCCTGGCACTCTTATCTGTTCTTCATCTTCATGATTTTGTCATTTTGAGAATGTCATCATACGCATGGAGTCAAACAGTAACCCAAGTAACCTTTCTAAAATTGGATTTCTGTGCATAATTCTCTTAAGGTCTGTCAAAGTCATGGGAGTCACTAGTCCATTACTATGTTAACCAAGAGTTGTTGTTATTGTTGTTATTGTTCAGTGCTGTGGAGTCAAGTATGACTCATAGAGACCATATGAACGGCAGATCTGAATCCTGTCCTATCCTGTGCCATCCTCACCACCTCTGGTACGCTTGAGCCATTGCTGCCATCACCAGGTCAATCCATCTTGATGGAGGTCTTCCTCTCTTTCTCTGACCCTCCACCCTTCCAAGCATGATATCCTTTTCCAAAGAATAGCCTCACATAGCAACATGTCCAAAAGTCCCTGGTGTATTCTTCAACACTACAACTCAAAGGCCTCAATTATTCTTCAGGCATCCTTATTCACTGGCCAGCTCTCAGATGCACAACAAGTAATGGAAAAGACCATGGCTTTTTCAGGC